CTAGTGCACAGTACACACATGAAACAGAGGGACTAAAATAAAGTTACAATGCCACTATATTCTGCAAATAACATATGACTTGATAGGACGCAATCACAGAAGTGATGGGACAACTGTGGGGGGATGAATAATCATGTAAGAAAACCCATTTAAACATAACTGTATGATAACATAAGGCATATTTATAACTCCATTACACACATACACAATTTTAGAAATGCATGCATGCAAATAAATATATCTAGCTAAACTGTCTAACTATTCAATTTAATGTAATTCAGTTAGTAAGATAAAGACCCTACAATAACGCAGATAAAACCCCAACAATTAAACGACCCCCTGACTGCAAAAACCTGGTAACAGTGTGAAGGCAAAACTCCATTTTAACAGGAAGAAACCTCCGGCAGAACTAGACTCAGGAAGGGGCAGCTATCTGCCAGAATCCATTGGGGGTGACACAAATGGCTGACTCCAGAAATAATTGTACAACCCCCTGGAATGTCAACATTAACACAATAATGACTTTTTTTCCTCTAAACACAATTAAATAAAATGTATTAACCAAACCTGAGCTGTATGATTACCCTGATCCTGTATAAATGTGCTCACCTCTGACTGACTGGAGGAAGCCAGTGGGAGCACTTCACCCTGTGTGAGTGACGCCCGTTGTTCCTGGACTCCACTCCCCATCCCCGAGGATTATGAACCAAGCACGCTCATGAATTCAACCGCTGGTGGCAGCGGTGATGCTGGTGGGGAGTACTGAGGCTAGAAGCTACAGGGAAGAAGGAAAAAAGAGGAAAAACAAGCACAGTCAAGTTTCATGTCAGTCTAAATATTTTTAAACAGATTTTCCTGTTACAGCAAGGAAGTTGTTTGAAAACCCTTTTTCCTGGTATGCCTCACCTCAGAAAAAAATGTTCATACTCCACATTACACAACTTTTAATGAATCAGAACAAAAAGAATATGACGTCAGCACTGTCATCCACTCTTTGTTTAGTTTCTCTAAAATATTCTTATGTCCTTTTACCTGATTGTCCACCCGCCACAGTTTGATAACCAATGCTCTAATTAGACTGCATGATTATTTATGGCCTAAATGAATCATAACAAGTACCACAGAATCAAAGTCTGCTCTCAAATCTATTCTACTTAACCGCCCTTTTTCTTATATGCTTACAACATGAGTTGAGAAACAAGATGTTTATCTGTACACAATAAACTAGAAATACAATACACACCGATGTGAATAACTACCTCAAGAATAGCCCACTTACTCTGAACCACCTGCCCTCATGAAAACTGCACACAGACACTGAGCTAAGTGGAGGTACAATAGATCACTCCTGAAGGACAGAGGACTTGTAGGTGAAAGGTGTCTGAGTGACACAAGCACTCCTGAATCCCCTCCCTTGCTGGAAACAAGTTTGCAATGTAACCACAACTTTGAACATTCAGGACAATCCTCCAGATCTCGTCAATAAAGACAAGTTGACCTTTAGAGTGAACTCACTGATTTTAACAATAGAGGTATTTGCATGGCTTTAAAGAGCTAATCATTTCACCACATAGTTCACATATTCATGTAATGCTCAACCCATCCACTCTGCTTTATCAAGTCCAAAGCTATCAAATATCTAAACCTGAGCTGAAGGAATACAAACAACAAGATGCAAATTAGTAATTCACATCCAGTCTACACAAGGTCTACAAGTTTCACACATTCAGAAGAAAGAATGAAAATGATCAGCAACTCTTTTTTTCTTTGGGTTTTCATGTGAAGAATTTTACTTATTTGTGTTTTTTGTCATCATGGGACACACGGATACTTCATCAGTATAAGATCAAATCTGCTTATGACTATGACTAATGTTTATCTGCTGTGTAACATTCATTTTAAGCTGTATAATTCTTCAAGCATGATGAACAGCTGACTTACCCTAAAAGTTTTTCTTGTTTACAGTTTTGCCAACAAAATAACACTGCCACTGGTATGATTAGGTGATGATCTGCCCTTTCAGATTTATATTATTACAGAGAATATGGGTCACTTAGTTTTTGATATACATACAAGCTCAGCACAGGATTTGTGGATGCTGAATATTTGTTAAAACATTAACAAAACAGCCCTTAGAAACACCAGAGTTCAAGAAGAAGCAGTGAGAGGAAAGAAGCAAATGAAGATGGCGAGAGACAACAGTGAAACTGTAAACGGAGGGTCGGCTCAAAAGCTGGGTCACAGGCAGCAAATACTGGCAGCAGTGCAACAGGCCTAGGACTTATTGTGCCCACCTTTTCACAGCAGCCACCATCCCAAACCTCAGGCCATCTCACACCCCTCCCTAAAGCTTCTTTCCCCATGCATATCATCTTACAGTTCATTATTCCTCCTTGTTTCTGTCCTGCTATGTCTTATTTGTGTGCCTTAGGCTTCATTACTCTGTAATACAGGACAGCATTCCCATGCTATACACATGCAGCAGTGGAGATTTTATAGAAAGTGTATTATCAAGAATAAGGGAGTCAAAAAAAAGGCAACTTAATACTTATGGGTAAAGCGTGGGTTTAATTTTGTGCTGTATTTATCAAGAATAAGTCCATGAAAATTATTGGAAGTCTAAGTGGAAAAAGTTGAGAGCAAAATATGACCACATGCTAGCTGTGGGAAACAGAAAATACATAAGCATAAATACTCAAAAGGCATCACAATTATCTGCGGATTATCTGAATAATCAGCAAATGTAAGAGTGTAGTGTTGCTGGAAAGAAGTGGATCATCAACATCATGAGCTGCTCACGTTGCCTGCCTCCTTAATACATCAGTTTTGTAACAGCGCCGTGTCCCATATGTTGCCATTTGCCTCGGCATTTATTAAACTGTAAACCAAAGCACGGTTACAAGTCAACATTACTGCAGTAGAAGTGGACACTTATTCATTAAACGATCACCATGCCTCGCCTTTCTGTTTCTGCCCGCTGCTCCAATCCTGTCCACACATGCCCGCAAACAAAACACAGCCACCCTCTGAAGCCAGCGACCTGTCACTGCTTACACAAACACATTTCTTACCTTATAAACCCGACGCCGGCATCAAGAGCTGTCACGTTTTGATATCCCCTCTACTGGCGCGTTATTTCCAGCCGTTAGCAGCTTCCTCAGGAGTTATTTCTAAGTTAGCCAAATACCAGGTTAAGTAAGGTAAGCTAGCCGTTAGCCCGCCGTTTAATTCGCGTCTATTTTCTCGGTAACAGCGTACTGCAAATGTTAACCATGAGCTAATGTCCTAACTGGAAATGTGTCCTAATGTTGAAGGTGCCTTTTAAAATACATTTCTCACATGCTCCAGAGCTGCAGTGACTCTAAGTGACAGGCTTCCTCCATTGTGGACTCTGCCGTTACTACTCCTGTCAGCCAGGCGAGGCGGTTCGCAATGACCACAGTGAGGTTTGACAAGGACGAGCGCATGTGCATTGTGGGAAATGAAGTCTCAGTGAGGTGCGGCACGCTTGGATAGGTCAGTTAGAGGGGCGTGAGTAGGAGAGCCACTTAGCAGGCAGTGGGCCTTCTGCAGTTTCTTGCTAGAGATACAGGGTCTGTTACTATCACACACAGCTAGATAACAGAAGATGGTATCATACTGTGTTAAACTTTAATGACAAATTTACAAACTAAAAATAAAGCATGTGTAAGGCATTCAAAACATGTACAATTTGGCCCTGCCAACACAGGAAATAAGTCACCACTTACAGAGCAGTTGCATAGCAGCAAATGCACTCATACAACATTTTACAAAAACACTTTAAAAAAAAAAAAAGTTTTACATAAATAATAAAAACGCATACAACAGCACTACAAAGGCCTTTTTGTACTTATACTGGAAAACACTTTCAAATCTTGCAAAAACATCGTGACTGGTCGTGTGTTGATTCACACTGCCTGAAGTGCTTTTCAGCAAATGTACTGTACAAATATACCTCACTAAGAGAGTATTTGCTTCTACTATGTTTATATGTTAGATATAAACATGACAGGATTACATTTTAGCCAAAATTGCACTCAGGGAGACATTTAAGTGTTTGTGGCAAATAGAACAGGGCCAATGTTGTTGGTTCAAATGTGAAATGTGGGCAGATTTTAGCTGGGCTACCACTAAAACAGGGATAGATTGTGGGTAAGATTAAACCCATTTACATCTGTTGTGTTTACAGACCTCAAAGAAAACCCTAGGGCCACAGGTTATTGTAACTTTTTGTTGACATACAACAAATTAAATTGCTGGTTAAAAAAACTCATCTTGAAGCCTCGAGTCTCACTATCTTTGCATTTTCAAACCTGACAAGACAAGAGAGAGGTGGACTCACTGAGATAACAAGGGTCAGGGCACTTTCTCATTTACAAGCCTGCCACACCCTAAAGCACACCCTTCTTTATCCCCACATATTTTGGGACATACTGAATAAAAAACTCAGTCTATTTTGTAAATTTTGGTCATCTTAAGTGTCAGAAACGAAGATTATTCAAGATAATCTCATTAGCTATACAACTGTGATTGATTGCCAGTAAGCACGTGCTGTCACAGTTCCCTCCCTCACTCATCACGTCTGATTTCAAAACATCAAGATGGTGATGCAAAAACTCTCAGCTTGAAGCATCAAAACAGGGCTTCACAAATCACTGAGTGACATCATGGTAGCGACAGCCATCTTTTATACTGTCTATGGCTATTGATTGTTGTACTTTAGTGGTTAAGTAGCTAACTAACAAGCTATTTTATTTGTTCATATGAATATAGAAGAAAGACTGACATCACCAGCGTCTCTCCTTCATCATGTGGCTGCATGCAATGGCAGTTGATGGTTAAGCCTCACCTAAACCTCTGCCGGGAAATGAAATCACAGTGGGCGGGACTGAATGTCTGCTATTAAACCCCCACCCCATCCCTGCAAGGTGTGTTGAACATTCCTTGCGAACCTTCTGCAGTGGTGCTGTGCTCCACTTTCAGTTGGTAAGGCTGCCATGTTTGCCAGTCCACAGCTCCCGAAGCTCCACCTGACATCCCAGATCTCTCAAGGCCGCCTTGCCTACATCACCGCAGTCTTGATGGTTCTGCAGCGCCTGGGCTATCAGCGCTTCTGCTCCCATCTCCAAGATTGGCTGGCTGAAGTTACGCATTCGTGCGACCAGATTTCGGAGCACCATACACCCTTGTTTCTGTAAAGAGCAGAACACCAAACGTGAATCACAGTCACAAAGACTCCAGATCCCGGGGAGCATATTGTTCACTGACGACATGATCTTACCTGCACGTTCACCACATCGGTATGAGACTTCATAGCCTGCAGGGCAGCCAAGGCACCTCCATTCTCCATGATGACCATGCAGTTGTTGGGTTTACGTAGAGCAAGGACAGAGAGGCATGCACAAGCCTGCTCGCACACCTATGGCAGAAAGTGAGCACAATCTTAGAACATCTTAGAGGATTCTTTCAGTCAGTGTATCCCTCATTTGTGTGTTTGTTTGTTTCAATGCACAGAGACCAATTTAGCATGATTTAACATGTAGGTACAACAGTGACACTCACAGCAGAGTTGCTCATGTGCCTGTTCATGGCGATGACAATGAGCTGAACTCCACCGGCATTAACAACAGCGTCTTTCACGTCATCATTTCCTGCTATGGCTCGGATCGCGCTAAGGACCTGCCGAACCAGCTCCTGTGGGAAGACAAACACTTCAGCGAAAAAACAAACAAACCTGGACTCGATCCTCATCACGATCTTTGCTTCTTGTACGTTACCGCTGACTCATAGCTGTCTGCGAGCAAAGTCATCATGAGTTTTAATCCGCCCATATCACAGATGTCTTGACAGAACTCATTGCGTACAGCCAGACGGGATAAAGTCGCACACAGCTCACTCAAAACAGAAGTGTTGCCAAGGTGAGCTGTATGGAAGATATCCAAGAAATCGAAATTATTTAAGTGTACCAGCAAATACAAAGCGACTAGAAAGCGCAGAAGCTAAATCTATATTGATATGATCAGCTGGCCTTACCTTTGGCAGCCTCAATCAACACCTTCAGTCCGCTGTGTTCAAGAACAATACTCTTGGCGTGTTCATGAGCGTGCCCAAACGTAACCCGCACGTCATCATCAAAGGTCATGACTCGGAGAGTTGCGCAGGCCTCCTTAACCATCTCCGCACATTCACCGTGCTGTGTGATGGCACCAGTGAGCAGCGGCAGGACGCCGCCTTTGACAAAATCCTGCCTGTTCTGTTCGTGCTTTAAACAGCAGTGCCGCACGGCACTGATGGCGACCCGTGTCACAGAAGAGTCTGCCTGGTACTTCTTAAGGACATCCAATAGGAACTGCCGGCCCTCTGCATCCAGCAAGTCTGGCTGTCCATCCATCAGCGCGACCAGAGCAGACAGCGCAGCTAATGCTGCTTCCTGCTCCCCCGTGCTCTTTTTGCAGTAGGACAGGATGACGGGGTAGGCGTCTTTCTGGGCAGCGAGGTACCGCTGGGCAAATCCCAGTGAGCACTGCTCAGTGAAGCTTTTTAGGTCTGCTGTCACACCAGCAGAGTCTTTTCCAATTCGGAGGGACTCCAACGCCTGAAATGATTAAAAAAATAAATAAATTTAATTTTAATTTTTAATATAGATAAAATTTTGCAATAAGCATTCTCTTTTCAGGAAAACAGATCAAGACTCACCTGTAGGACCTCGTGTGTCTGCTCTTCTTGACTGTCAGCCGATGATAATGTTGGGACAGCTTTCACTATGCAACTGAGGTCCACACCTGCATTAACACATACGATTAGAATTAATGCTGTGACTCACAGCACAACATGAAGTTCACAAAAAAAGGGTCCAAAGGTCAACACAACTTCTTTAATGACCATTTTAACATCTCAGAAGCGGCAGTAACAACAAAAAAAGCTATTGTAATTATCAGAGTGCCAGTGCACTCTCTTCTTCATATTTGACGGGGCTGGAGCCTTTCACAGGTCTCGCTGGGCGAGAAGTGGACTAACCTTATGTGTTAATTGTTATTCAAGACAGAGGCTTCAAGCTGATTAAAGTAAGGAGAAGGAATAAATTACTTTTTAGTACCTATTGCTTTCCCAACATTCCCAAAATGTCTTTACTGTAGCTTCTGTTAGAAGCAGCAAACCTCAGCCACGGGATCGATATATGAAGATTTGTTTAAAAAAAGAAAAAAAGCTTTGTATCAGTGCTTTGTGCGCATTTGATTGAGAAATAGGTGAATTCATAAAGTTAATCTGTCATTATCTTTAAAAAATAAGGAAAGTTAAACTCCAACTTCCTCCCACAGTCCAAAGGCATGGAGTTAGTGGGGTTGGATTAATTGGTGATTCTAAATTTGTCATAGGTGTTAATGTGAAGATGAATAGTAGAATCTCTCTCTCTCTGTGTTAGTCCTAAAACAGACTGGCGACCTGTCCAGCGTGTACCCTGCCTCCCGCACTATGGTAAGCTGGGATAGGTTCCAGCCCGGGGGGACAGATAGATGGATGGAGCGACGGACAGACAGATGGCAGAAGCAAATGGAGAGGGTCACTGTGGGGACAGGAGGGACAGCAGCAGTAAAAGTAAATTATAGCTGATTAAAGTCTGAAGAGAAAAGAAGCCAACTGATCCAGTTATGAAGAGTTTGCTACTTTATTGAGGATTGTGGCAGTGGGATATAGTTTGTAGCTTGGCTGTAAGAGGGAAAGGGATGGGATGGTTGAATGCATGGCACACTTGCATTTGCTAAATACTCTCTTTCCCTACATGGTAAGTGCAGGGGTGCCAGAGGACGAGAGAACAGAGCAAAGCACAGAAACAATAATGCTCTGAATCTGGGCAGCTGGTTGAGCAAACGTTTTTTCTTTTGTGCTTGATAATAAAGAAGTCTGTGTGTGTGCTCTGTGTGTGTGTGTACAGTCTTCCCTCTCTGTTACTGAGGAGAACCAGCTACAAAGACATATTCATGAGAATGAAAGTTGAACAGACTGAAAAGGAAAAAGACAAAGGGATGTTGCTTCTTTTTTTACAAGCACACAAATAAAGCAAGACCAGTTTAAGACTGCATACCTTTGCTACCTACACACCATGCATGAACTGGCTTCCTTTTCTGCCTTTCAGTTCTATTTGTTACTGCTCCCCCACACCTACCCCTAGACCTTATTTGTGGGGATGTAACAGTGTACTTGTCCAGACATGTTGCAAAATGTTCAGTTTTGCTCTCACAATGCAAATCGAATCCAAAACTTTGATTTTAGGCCAAGATCCAACTCTCCTAAAAATTTTCATGCCAATCCTTTCATAAGTTTTGAGTAATACAGTGACCAAACAGACAAACTGAACTAATCATAAAACCACAGTGAAAGAGGTAAAAGAAGGGTTACACAAATCAAAAACAGAGATTAATCTAGATTTGGCCGATCAAAAATCAGAGTTTTATGATCTGGACCATTTCTAATGCTGCTGATGTGGAAAAACTGCAACATTTTTTACTTTGGATTTTTGCAAACAGACTAAAAATTCACAGTGCACAGTGCAGTAAACAGGGAATCTGTTTATCAGCATAGTAAGTTCAGCTTCCCATTAAATGAAGGATCAAGGCTAGAGTTGTCAAACATTAAGTCCAGGGCCCAGAATCAAATGTGTAGTGAAACTCCTTTAAAATAATAGAAAAAGCTGTATCAATGGTCCAGCACACTTAAGATCAAAGTGGGCTGTATGCGGCCTGCAATGTACAATGAGTTTGACATTCCTGATCTCGGCTAACATCTGCATGCATACAAATAACATGACATGTTACAGATGTTAGAATATAAGGCAACACTTTAAAGTAAAGGAATTTTAACGTAAAACAAAATCAAATGTGACAGAACCAAAAAAATAAAGGACACATGTTTCATGAGCACTTTACATCTTCTTCTTCCTCCTCCTCCTCTTCTTTTGGCTGCTCTCTTTAGCCGTTGCCACAGGGCATTGTCTGCCTCCATCTCACCCTATCGCTGGCATCCTTCTCTGTCACGCCAACCTTCTGTGTATCCTCGTTCACTACATTCATCTACACTACAACCTTCTGTGTGGTCTTCCTCCTAAACACTGCACATGCTCATGGCTCCAGTCTTCTGCAGCTTGACCATCAGTGATTTAATTTCAATAGACATGCAACTCTTACCTTGTCATTCGGCCTGAAGTTTATATCAATCTTAACCGACACGGTGTCACCCTGACAAAGTGTGTAACAGTCAGTGTACATTAACCAACTGTGACATTTACCTTGAGACTCAAACTGCTCCACAGCCTCCCTCAAAGCCTCGTCCGGGTCCATCTCAAACTCCTCCATGTTTTCCCTGACAGCAGCATCAAAGGTCTCCTGTGTGATTCTCCGTTTGGCCATTTTGCCTCGTTATCTTCAACTCTGAAATTAAATGCAACAACGAAGTGAAGCCTCAGCAGTGTTGGGCGGATTCAGTCTCCACTAAGGTAGCTAATACCGACAGCTATTGTTGGCTAAAGCACATGAGCTCCATTCCCTGTTACTGTAGCCGGTGAAGTTTCCAGGGCAATCGTTAAATAAGACCCTTACTGTGGTATTTCTCGTTGTTTTCATTATTATTTTATATGAGCCGATTAAAAGTAATTCAGCCAAATGCTTTGGATATTACCTCCGCCCTGAAAGAGGATGCTTTCTCCGGTATCATGAATGAAGCGATCACAGTAACGCAGTTTTCGCTGTCGACTGTTTGGTACTATTCACAGAGAAGAGAAATTGTGCGGAAAAATGTACGTGAATAGCAAATTTCTCCAAATGTCCCACACAAATTTTTGCTCTTCTCAAACATAGTCTGAACAGCATAGGTTCCTCTCACAAATTTTACAATTACTACATTATATATCTTGAGAAGATGGCAGTAAATTATTCATATTATTTATATGTGATTATTTAACGTAACATGTATTATTTAGTGGATGATAAAAGGATTTGAAATTATATTTTCACTTTGACGAATACCCTTTCAAAATAAAGGAGGCAATTTCAATTATTTATAAAAGTAACTTGTCAAAAAACTAAATGATGGAAAATTGTTCTTTCTGTTTGAATATTGTATCCACGTCAAGCAAGTTTAACAGATAGGTTTACAACATACTAAATATGTTCTTGTTTGGTGTATCCATATTGAAAAGCTACAACCGGAAGTCATTTTTCTTCGGACTAGCTCCTTGGCGCTATTACTCCGATTCATGCAAATGAAAGAGGTGGAACGCGCAGCTGGGGCAAGCTGAAGCTGGGGACGTTGTCCCAACGGTAAATTGTTGTTTTTATCCCCGGACGACTTGGGATGGCAGCGAGCACAGAGGCCCCGGAGCCTTGGTATCTGGCTCTGCTGGGCTTTGCGGAACATTTCCGCACGTCGAGTCCTCCAAAGATCCGACTCTGCGTCCACTGTCTGCAAGCAGTGTTTCAGTTCAAGCCGCCCCCGAGGGTCGAGGCCCGGACTCACCTCCAGCTGGGCTCGGTGCTGTACCGCCACACAAAGAACGGCGAGCTGGCCCAGAGTCACCTGGAGAAAGCGGTGAGCAGCACTGATGATCAGTACTAGAAACACCTCCACCACCGTTTTATGATCACTGCACCACCCAGGGTCCACCGTGCTCTCACTGATGATCTGTTTCCTTTTTTTTCTTCCTTAGTGGTTCATATCACAGCAGATATCCTTTTTCATGTGCAGTATTAAAACCCATGCAACCCGTTTTTGGTTTGTTTTTTTTTATAAGTTGTGCCACTTAAGCATCTCCTTAAAACCAGGTGAGTTTTCACATTGTAGGTTGCATCTTTAACAACACCTATCAGATCTCTCAGTTTGAAGATGTCAAGTTTGAGGCAGCGAGTATTCTCTCCGAGTTTTACTGTCAACAGGTATGTACATCCATGTTCTCATCATCTTCCCTGTTTGTAAAAAAAAAAACAATGCTTGGACAAACTTTAGCAGAGGTGCATTTGTTTATTTTATTGGGTTTTGCGCGCAGTGACGTCATACTCACTGCTGTACCGCTGAGTCACGTGCAAGCCTTGTGTTCGGAACTCAGAGATAACAACCTGAAAAACCTCTGGCCAATAATCTGAATGAATAAAATGCATGCTCTCATGCATGTGTGTTTGTGTATATATAACTGTCTGTGTGCCATGTTGATGTCATGTCAGCGTCCTCTCTTGTCTACTCTGTTCTGTACACTGAGAGCAAAGAAATAACTGGAGCTTAATTCTTTGTCCGTGTACACATAGTTGATCAATAAAGCTCATTCCAATTAGATTGTGACTTAAATTCAAGAGAAAATGAATTCAGATTCTCTTTCAATTACTTATTTGCTTCTTTCACCAAGAACTTGGTGGACTCTGCAAAGCCGGTGCTGCGGAAGGCCATCCAGATCTCCCAGCAAACTCCCTACTGGCACTGCAGGCTGCTTTTTCAGCTGGCAGTAAGAAACATCTCAACATTACAAACCTACTTGTGCCTGTTATGTTAATTTGAAGCGTGGCTGATGTATGAGCGCAATGTTGTTCTGTCTCCTTCAGCAACTGCACGCACTGGAGAAAGATTTGGTGTCCGCCTGTGACCTATTAGGAGTCGGAGCAGAGTACGCAAGAGTCATGGGATCAGAATACACGAGGTAAACGGGTCAGATTTCTGTTTTCTGAGTGAGATAAGTGATTCATCCGCGGTCATGCATTGACTCACGTTAAGTTTGTTCTTTCATTTTCCCACAGAGCCCTCTTCTTGTTAAGCAAAGGAATGGTAAGCTTAAATCATTCTCCTCTAACTAAAAGCGCTCGATGTGTTAACTTGTGTTGTTTTCTGATTATGCAGCTTCGTAATGTGTGTTTGTGGCCCTGTAGCTACTGCTGATGGAGAGGAAGCTGAGCGAGGTCCACCCGCTGCTGACACTATGTGGGACCATTGTGGAGAACTGGCAGGGAAACCCCATTCAGAAGGAGTCGCTGAGAGTTTTCTTCCTGGTATTGCAGGTTACACACTACCTGGATGCTGGACAGGTATGCCCGTGGGTCAAAACCGGCTCTAAATAGATACGTTATTGTTGAAGTTTCATAAAAATGTAAGAAACATCTATTTTAAATAAACTTTTTTTTAACCCCATAACTTGTGCCAGATATCAAATATAAATCTGTATGCTTTTACATTATGCTAAAATGATGCTCAGAGCAAAGTTAAAGCTGCAGTGTGTAAAATCTCACCACTAGATGTCAGTAGATTGCAGATTGGGGATAACTAAGTTCTGTC